AAGTAGATACGGGGACATCCAAGATCATTTTTCACAGAAATGATGAGAATGTATCTGGAAATGGTTTTAGGACCAAATTCTTTTGCCTCCGGGTACCTGCTTTCACATTCAAGAACATGTTGGATGAAGTAAATTTCAACTGTCTTGCACTGCAATCCAACATTCCAACCATTGGCATTCCAACATAGAAGTGCCCGCCACCAAGGATCTACTCGTTATTAACTTGGCAGTAGATAGAGATTCAGAAGCCATCAAAATCTGCAGCTGCAGTACATATTGCAGGGCATTTCAGGGTTTGCTGAATCAACAACAGACAGTCGCAGAATAAGATAGCTGCAGGTGAGAACTATAATGTAGAGCCTCGGTGACTTGCAATTGTCAGCTTTGACTAAGAATCCTATTTGAAACCTCCAGTCTGCATCATTATCCGTGTAAGATATAAAAGCTATTTTACGACATAATCAGCCACACAATAATGTATAACCCTATATGATATATATTGCTATTCTTCTAGTTCAACAAGCTGAGCTGCCCTTCTCTCAGCAGCCTTTTTCCTGACAAAAATGCCCCACCTCATAGCTGCCTTGATCTTGAGCCAACCGACTACTGCTTTACCAGATGAACGATTCCTTTCATCATCAAAGTTGAAGTTAGGACATGGCGAAGGCATATACGGCGGAAAGCCATATCCATCTTCAGGGAGACCGACAGAAGCTCCACCCATGGTGAAGGTTCGGAGCAAATGTTGCATATCCTCATTCTCCAGCATCTCATGGCTTCTCAAGCGAATCTCTTCCTCAGAGAAGAAATCATCCATACAGCGGCTGTCCTGCTGACCAGACCAGTCATCATATATGTTCAAGCCTGAATGCTCCATGGAGTGGCTTGATGGTTGGAATCCAATGCTTGTCTGCTGTGGTAGAGCCAGTGCCAGACTTGTACTATCATTTCTAGTAATTAAGCTCTGTTGAGCAGAGCCAATTGCCTCATTCTGTGGTGTGAAGCAGGCGCTTTCATACTGCATGTTTGTATCAGAAACTACGTTTGGAAGACTACTTGAATATGTAACCCCTTCATTTCCACTATAAACAGCAGTTATGGTACTTCCTGAAGAAAAGAGAGCAAAAATTAGTATTCTAAGGAGTGTTGCTTTCCTTTGGATGATGGTTATAACATCCACAAGATGATATCTTCACTACATATCCTAGTGAGGCGAAAACGACCTATGATATTGCATGCACAGGATCATCTACGATATAGCATTCGGCATTTTGTGCACCTAGCTAAGTGATCATGTTCTGGTTCACAACTCGCCAGATAAACATAATTTTTATCATCACCTGCAACATCCTAAGTGCCACAACCTAGGTATTTTTAAATTAATGATAAATAAAATAAACAGAAACTTCAAAAATTATTTGGGGTCACATCTATAGACCATCATTCTCGATCATCACTTTCAAGTCCGTCCTACTGCTGTACAGGAGCTAAATAACATGCTACAAGAGAAATTATTCTTATTCATGGTAGAAATTTCATACCTCCCATATCAACCAAAGGATGCTCCAAAGGAAACGAAGCTTGTAGGTTGACTTGAGACTCTTCATGATCATTTGAAGAATCTGATAGGGCTTTCTTTTTTTTGGTAAAGTTCAGAAGAGCCTTACCATCATATTCTATGACATGCATCCAATTATCATATGCCTTCTTGACCAACACATCTGCAAAGACCTGCAAAAAATAAAAGAGATTGCCACAACCTGAAAGTCAGGCACCAGCTTTATCTAGGTATTGGCATGAGAAATCCTCCAAATTAAAAAAAAAATGATTCATATGAACAGATTTTAGTATATTGAGTTTGCATCTTCATCTCCAAGCATGATCTATCAAACATATGCATATGAGAAACATGTTCATTGCAACCATAATGCTCTCGCATCAAATACATAACATCCTAGAACATACTGACGAAATTAGTCCCATTTACTTGGAGAATCAATAGCACTTTTCGATGCCAAGAGTCTGAATATCAACATTTATTATTTCCAGAAACATCTTAGAACAACAGTTGCTACTGTAACATAGCTGATAGTGCCATTGTCCATAGACATACAGGATTTTCTTTCCACTGCTGTTTATTATGACTAAAAAATGCATGACAAGAAAACAATGCAAAAGTAGATAATGACAGCTCTATATCAAGCCAACATAAGAAGACCTATGTCCTTATAAAATTCATTTATTCAATATAAGAAATATATGCATCCATCTTTCACGATAAGTTTGTCTAGATCATATACTAGAAGAT